TGTGACATATATATGAGTCATAACTCTTTTTTGCTTGCATTCTTATTGTATAATATTGCAGTCACATGTGTGTTTACATTACTGACCTTACTTACTAATTATTTGTAGACACACAACACATGCAACCATGTGTCTACCGTTACTTTTGCGCCCATCATCGACCTTGTAAAGTGGTCGGTGAGATACGATGGAGGACGCGAACCGTTGGCGTTTGCAGAACGATTAGAGGAGCTGGCCGACATATACGCATTAAACGTAGAACTATTACCAAAGACGATGTCTGAATTGCTAAGCGGCAGCGCCCTCCATTGGTACCGCAATAACAACGAACATTGGACCAACTGGGCGTCATTCAAACCTGATTTCCTGACGACATAAGGCAACGGAGGCAGGGCCCGTGAGAAAAATTCAAAGATACGTGATCGCAATTAAAAATCTGATGCGACCCGCGGTTCACAGTAACGAAAAACGGCTGGAAAGGATTTTTCGTAACACCCGGAATACTTGCTGCACATCAAACGGCGGGATTTTAACACTTTGATGGAACTCGTCACGCTCGCGGAAGAATATGAAAGCATCTACGAAAGCCATCGGAGGGCCGCAGAAACCGCCCGACGAGAAATAGCTAGGCACGTCGGTGACGACCCCATTACGTCACCACCCATCCGAGACAAGCATTTCAGCAACGACCGCCACCACGCATGGATCAGCATCTGCGAGAAGCACCGTATAACATCGAATTGAGAACCCCACCCCCTTCGAGAGCCGCGCCTCAAACTTTTCATAGCGGCAACACATGCAGGAGGTGTGGTCAAGAGGAACACTTTGCACGAAGGTGCCGTAACCAGTGTTACCGCGCCGTCCCAAGAAAATGTATCACCGACCAAGCCAAAAATGTATCCAATTTTCTTTTTTTACGTATCCATCTCATAATTTGTAAGAAAACCAAACATTTTGAAGAAAAAGACATAATTTAACCCATCCTAAGGACTTGGGATACGTGTATATATATCTTTATATTTCATAAAATCAAACATTTGTAATTTCAATTTATAAATTACATCTTTTATAC